CACAATCTACTGCTAGTGCCAGTGGTGAGTGTAAAAATAATAATTAGTATTTGCCATTTATTTTACGAATTTTAGTTTATATGTGTATAGTTTTTTATGTTGTAGTGTTGTGGTTATTTGTTATAATAATATAATAAAGAATTGTAATTATATAATAGAATAGTAAATATATATTACTAGTTGCTAACATAATTTTAGGACATGATTTATGATACTTTTTGTAGTGAAACGTCTTTACGCGCGCTGGGAGTAAACATTCAAGGCCGTGACATACGAGCTAGCGAGACGGCCCTGACACACGAGCTAGTTGTAACGAAACGTGTTAACGGCTTAGAAATACGTAGTGACGCGACGTGTATTTGTGAGCAGTCCACGTGTTTATCAAAAATATTGATATTTTAATACAAATTTTGTATAAGTGAATCAAATTTACGTGTAAAAAAACATTTGTTACACGTAAAAAAATATTTTTATTATTTTACGCGAATAAACTGTTATACGTAAAAAACTATTTTTTACGCGTATAAAATTATTTGTTACTGGTAGAAAACTATTTTTTACGCGTATAAAACTATTTGTTACGTGTAAAAAACTATTTGCTACACGTAAAAAATCTAATTTTCACGCGTTAAAAACTTATTGTTTCTGGCAATAAAACTTTTATACACAAAAAAAAATATTTTTTACGTGTAAAAAAACTATTTGTTACTTGTAAAAATCTATTTGTTACACGTAAAAAACTACTTTTTACGCGTCAAAAACTATTTGTTTCTGTTAAAAAAACTTTTTTACGCAGAAAAAAACACTAATGTTCCTTTAATATTGAGTTTCCTTCAAATTTTGGAATTTAATAGAATCTTCCTAAACAGTAGACGTTCTCTATAAAAATACTTTTAGATAATATTCTAAAATGAAAAAAATGCATACTATTTATTTTATTTTTATTGTATTATAAAATATTACGTCTGCCTAGGACGGGGTCCCATAGAAAACGCTAAAGACGCTACAGAAAACAAATTGATTTGTTTTCATTTGCGTTTTTTGCGAGACACGCCGAACGCCAGACGCTTTTGGTGGGGCCACTCCTATATAATCCTGTTATTTTGTTTTAGACGCAAAAGACGCTTCACGCTAAAAACGCAAAAAACGCTTTCTGTGTGGCCGTGCACTTAGTAATCATGACTTCGACGTTTGAGACATGGTGGGACCATTTGAGAATCATTTCATCTTTAGAATGCGTTTTAAGCCTGGTTATATATATCTGTAGAAACTGTTTGTCACTGGGAGATATACTTCTCTAAATATACAAACTACTGAACATTACGCAAATATATTATAAGAATATATTGCTAGTACCGCATTTACACAATGAGTGGAAAGTGAAGCCAAAAAAAAAAGAAATAGGAATATCTATCATGCATAAGTCTATCCTTTTCGTTCAACAGGATTTTCGTGCGCACGCACCAAATAAAACGATCTGATGCGTCTACTTTAACGCTGTCACCTGCCTGCGCACTATTTTAAACTCTAAATACCATATGATCGAATGAAAACGGCGTCAGCGATGGCTATGAAATGAAGATCGCTGTCATTTTATATGTAAAATTATATGGGAAATGTCATCGATCGTCATTTCCACGCCAACTGGACGCCGTTTTTTTTTCGATCATACGGTATTAATAATGTATAATATGTTATTTTTTGTTGGTAATGGCATTATTTCAATCTGTTATTTTAGATATTCATCATATCTATCTGTTTCTTGTTTTGTTTAAATATGTCAGAGATTAAATTTAAATTTATAAGTAATGGCACGAATAGTCAGACGTTAAATTGATTTACGTGGTAGATAGAAACTTAGAAAACTACTTCTATTGGTTAGTATGAAATAAATAAACTAATCGAGAAGTATTTCTCACGCTTGCGTAGTTCAAAGCTGTTGAACGAATCTCAAAAACTTGGCATCAATTTCTATTCCTGACTAGCGATATAGTGTAATATACATGTCACTGTAAATGTCCGAAATGCGGTAAAACCTAGGATAAGCACGCTAAACCTAGGATTTATCAAAAGTAAATGGTAAAAGCTCGAAAACTTCTTTATTACCACTTCCATTTCGGACTTTTACCGGTCCCAAACAGTAAATCTTAGGATTTACCACACCGTATTGGTAAAAGTACGAATTATTTTTCTTATAGCAACAATATCGACAAATTAAGGATGTCGATATACAAAGACATCTCTACTTTTGTTTACTTAGGCATTGAAATTTTAACGATTATCGTTTCACGATATCGATTTTTGTAACGTATCAGTCATATTTGTTACTGTAAATGTCCGAAATGCGGTAAAACCCTAAGGTAAAACCTATGATAAGTGCACTAAACCTAGGATTTACCAAAAGCTTTAACTAATTAGGTTAGCCTGGTTATTTGAAGGGTGTTAATGCATTGGTTAGCCTGGTTATTTGGAGGGTGTTATTGCATTGGTTAGCCTGGTTATTTGGGGGGTGTTAATGCATTGGTTAGGTGGTTATTTCGTGGGGTTGGTTGGTTTTTACTACCACTTGCTTATTCGTACTTTTACCAATGCGGTGTAGTAAATACTAAGATTTACTGTTTGGGTCCGGTAAAAGTCCGGAAATGGAAGCAAAATAAAAAGTTTTCGGGCATGTTTTTGGTAAATCCTAGGTTTAGCGCGCTTATCCTAGGTTTTACCGCATTTCGGACATCATTGACAAAACGCATGCCGGTATTGGTGAAAACTATAAATACTTGGTTCACTAACATTTTATTCAGGATGGTAAAGTATGATCTACATATATTAATATTATTTAACAGTTAAATGATGAAACATTATACCTGGCACCTTTAACCTGACCAGAGGTTTTATTAGTTCTCAATTAAAGGTCGCCATTAATTGACATTTGACACAGTTTATACCGAGAATTAATTGGGTTTGATTTTTTCATTAATTTAAATTTAAAGGTCTATTATTTGGGAATAATTCGGTATCGTTTAAATAGCAACACGTGAATGTCCTATCAATGTCAATTAACACAATAAAATGTTTTAAAGTTATTAAGAATTTACTGCTGTAATGTTATTTTGGAATGGTTATTTTTTTCATAAAACACACCATGCGTCGTCTTATGGAGTTTGCTGGTGGTCGTATTATGATGTGTAACCAAAGTTATTTTATTTTCCCTCATCAACCAATCTTGTGGTACGGGTAACTGAGACTAATCACTCTGTATAAGCATCTCTAACATTCTAGAACCTGCTTCGGAAACAACTATTTAATTAACCGGTATTTTAATTGCATTTAAATCGGTGTTAATTTAAGCAAATTTGTCCATTTAATCATGACATAATTGGGTAATATAGCTCTATTAAGCTGTAAACTTTTTTGATGAATTATTCATGTGGGTGTCAGAAAATGACTTTAAAATTATTATAATTTAATCATAATGATTTGAAATTTTGGGTTTGACGGATATATGTGTCATATAACGTAGCTCATTTTGAAATGTTTGATTGAGTTAGTAGAGTACAACAAAATTATTTATCTGTAGAATAAAATTCATAATTATTAAATAATATGTTCTTAAAAATAATACCTAATAATCAGAAGCTATATATTTTTGTCCTAAACATCCTTTGTTTATCATTTTAATAACATACCGATTTGACAATAGTATATTGTTTTATTAGGAGTAAAAAAGACACTTCACTGCGAACAAAAAGTCATTTTTACTCCGAATAGAACATGCTATTTTTTTTCAAACGGCAAAAATAATTTTTTAAACAATAAAATAATATAATATTTTAATAATATTTTTAAACATTCCAACTAATATAAAAAGATTTAAAAGTCGTACCTTGTATGTAATTATATACAGGGTGTCCCAGAAATAAGTGCAAGTATTTTAAGAGGTAGATCTCGATAAAAGAAACACATTTTCTCTTTATCGTTTTTCAAATAAGTCCAAAATAATGTAGTTATTTTACTTTGAAAATTTCCCAAAAAAATGATTTTTTGCTAAAATTTTGAGAACCACTGGATCTTTTCTGGATTTTCTTTTTTGTGAATTTAATCTAATACCTATAATGCCATATTATCAAGAAATTGTGTTTTTAACTAAAAACTAAAAAATTTCCAAAAAAAATTTTTTTTTCGCGGAAAAAAACCACACACATAGGCGTGTTTCTGGGGTTGAACTATACTACCAGTTAAAATATTTGCACTTATTTCTGGGATACCCTGTATAGAGAAACTATGGTTACGCTCGTTGAATTTGACACTTTATGTCAGTTTAATAATATATTTTCATACTTTTATGCTTATGGCTTAGGCGTAAACGTGCTTTACTTCTATCACCTTCTATGCCTAGGCGTTAAAATGACTTTTTTATATTGTCAATCACGTCGCAAAAATTAATACTTTTGTGACGTTTGAAAAAAAATAATGTTATTAACCATGTCACCAACAGGAATAAACGTTAAATAGAGTGTACAGGGTGAGTCAACGATAGAGTAATAATAAGTCCATTATCTCATTTGTTTCAAGGTTTACAAAAAAATGTTAAATATAAGAGTTATAGGGAAGGTTAAAATACACATTTTAAAATTATTGTAGAACATACAGGGTACTTTAAAAAAGTGTGGCGGATATAAAATATGTTTTTTAAATGTAACACTCTATCTTAATTTTGTTTTTAGATTCTGCGTAAAATTCTATAACTTTTTTATATATATAACGTTATATACTTAAAATTAATACTTTTTGTAATATTTCAATTTGTTTAAACAATTGTTAGATTTCAGTGTGGTAATAAATTGTCAGTGATGCCATTGTTTCTGAAGTTAGACTAGTAGATACTCCTGGTAGGAGAGTTTTATAAAAGATATATGATTTTAGTTAGAGGCTACAGGGTGTTCATTTTATTAGTTTAGGTATGTTTTGTTGGTAGTTATTAATGATGTTATATCTCTTTCTAGCTGTGACAGACATGGCAATGCTGTCGAGACCGGTATGCGGGATCAGAAAAAAGACCATTATAGTAAATTTTCCGGGCAGTGCCAAAGCGGCCAGCGAGTGTTTTCATTTTGTGAAAAACGCCCTTCCTCATGCAATCGCCTTGCTTCGAGAAGACGACTCCAAAGTTAGGAAAACCCACGAAGAAGTTCAGAGTTCGCCATTCGAAAAGAGCAAGGTATTTTTTAATATTTCCTCTTGAATTGAATTCAAGAAATCATATTGTACAGGGTGTCCAAGAAATAAGTGCAAGTATTTTAAGGGGTGGTAGATCTCGATAAAAGAAACATATTTTCTCTTTATCGTTTTTCAAATAAGTCCAAAATAACGGAGTTATTTTACTTTCAAAAATTTCAAAAAATTGATTTTTTGCTAAAATTTTGAGAACCACTGGAACTTTTCTGGATTTTCTTTCTTGTAAATTTAATCTAATACCTATGTTTCCATATTATCAAGAAATTATGTTTTTTAACTAAAAACTAAAAAAAATCCAAAAATTTTTTTAAAAAATTTCGAATTTTCAATTTTTTTTTTCGCGAAAAAAAACTCATAGGCGTGTTTCTGGGGTTGAACTATACTACCAGTTAAAATACTTGCCCTTATTTCTGGGACACCCTGTAGGTAGTATATTTCGACCCCAAAAACACGTCTATGAGTTTTTTTTGCTTCTCAAAATGTATACGAAAAATCATTTTTTGCGAAATCTTTAAAATAACGTATCTCTGTTAATTTCAACTTATTTGAAAAAAGGTAAAGAATAAAAATATGTTTCATTTATCGAGATCTATTAGCTCTGAAAATATTTGTACTTACTTAAGACTCACCCTGTATGTGTCTGTATTAGGCTAATTGATAAAATTTAGTAGAACAAACTAATTATTTTATAAAATTTTGTTTGTTTTCTAAGCAAGTAGTTTTTATAAATTTTGGAAGGTGAATTAATGTTTAATATTTAAATATCATTAATATATCGGAAAGTTGATTTATGTCTGTGTTTGGTCAAAAACAAAATGCATTTTTTGTGAATTAAATGCAAATGATGTCACCAAGGTCAAGGAGGCCAGACTATAATAAGTATTTTATTATTTAATCACTTTTTTCTTTAATGGAGCATTTTATTGTTGTCGATAGAGTGAAAAACAGAAATAATATATTAATAAGCCATCAATTTTTTTCTTTAATTGAGCATAATATTTTTGACGATAAAAACAAAATTAAAAATAACCTATTAACAAATAAATAAACCGCTTATTTGCCAATTTTATTGGTTTTAGGTCAAGATTGTGGCTGGCTCATCTAGAACTCGAACATCTCAATACCGGATGTTTGAAGTTGACGAAGCAAAAGAAACAATTTTTCAAACGCTCCAGTCCTCTGAAGACTTTGAGACAATACCGATTTTTAATGCTGTAACTAGAATTTTAGGGGAGGACATCAAAGCACCTATGCATATACCACCATTTCCTGCATCAATTAAAGATGGGTATGCTGTAAAAGCTGCTGATGGGGTTGGTAATAGAGCTGTTAGGTCAGCTACAGCAGCAGGAGATCGACCTGAAACAGCAGGTAAATATCCTCCTTTAGAACATTTTATGACATAGTAGTGAATATTACAATCAAGTGGAATAAATATTAAATAAGAGTTAACTTTTAGACTAGATCTTCTTCTCAGTGTGCTGATCCGTTCGGGATGTTTTTTACAGATTTTTGAGATTCTGCTCCTCCAGGTTCTTTTCTGTCTAAGATTTTTTCCTGAAGTATCAACTGAAGTAGACCATATCTCTTTTGGTTCTTCATTATGTGTCCTAGATATTCTAATTTTTGTTGTTCTATATAATAATAGCTCCCGTATATAGCGTTTAACGCCTTGGGAGTAGCAAGGTACAACTTGTCATGCTAGAGCCGTTCGGTATACAAGGAAGGTAATGTGGCTAGCACTACGCTTCAGCCGCCAATTATTACCTCAGGATTGTGAATCCCAAGTACTCATTTAAGGCTGAGTCGACCTAGCTGCACAAACTATTTTAATTTTAATAAAAATGACTAGTGAAAATGACTTGAGTTGTAGTATTCGCATTTCGCACAGTGAAAGAATAAAAAAATCCAAAGAATTATAAATAACAAACAATATTTCAAAGTGATATATCTACTATCATCGATAAATTGATAATTAATTGGTCAGCAATACAAAATATACAGGGTCGCTTTTATGTATGGAAACGGTCGATTATTAGTTTAAATATAGGAGGTACCGCAAAAAGTTAAATACAAATGTTATAGGATTTTTAAATATCTATTAGCGATAATAAGCGATAATAATCTATAGCGAGAAATAAATTTAAGTATACAGGGTCGGTCATAAAATCGTGGCACATAAAAGTTTCATTTTTTAAAATAGAACCCCCTGTATATTACTGCATATTTTAATTCTTCCTTCAATTCTAAGCAAAGATCGAAATACACACAATTTACCTTAAATCTACCGTTTCCGAGTTATTGTCTTTTGAAAATATCACTTAAACAATTTGATTTAATTAATTTCGATATGTTCAGTTTCATTTAACGATGCCGTTCTCAAGTTAGCATTTATAGATGTATAAAATGAAATTATATCAAGTCTGCAAATTACAAAATTCTCGTTTAACATTTCAATTCTTCAATTTATGTACATTGTGTATTACGATTGCTTAAAATTGAAGGAAGAATTTAAATATGCAATAATATACAGGGGGTTTCGTTTAACAAATATAAAGTTTGATGTGCCACAACTTTATGACCGACCCTGTATACTTAAATTTACTAGTAGCTAATAGGCATTTAAAAACCCATTACAACAGTATCACAGTTTCGGCAGAATGGCATCATTAAATGAAACTGAACATATTGAAATGAATTAAATCAAATTGTTTAAGTGATATGTGGTTTGGGGAACATTGTGTTTATTTCGATTTTTGCTTAGAATTGAAGGTAGAATTGAAATATGTAATAAGTTCTATTGAAAAAAATGAAACTTTGATGTGCCACGACTTTATGACCGACCCTGTATATATAAATTTATTACTCGCCAATAGACATTTAAAAACCCTATAATTTTTGTATTTAACTTTTTGCTGTACCTTGTATATTTTACCTAATAATCGACCGTTTCCATATCCACAGCGACCCTGTATATAAAAATTATTGTTCCTCAAAAAAAAATGGAAATAAAATATCAAATCCATCTAAAATATCAAAAGGATTAAGACAAGGGTGTCTCCAGCTTTATTCAAAATATACGTCAACCAAGTTTTAAAGAAGTGGTTAGGTTTTGGCATTCGCTGTTTTGGATGCTTTTTGAAGCTTTTGAAAACTTTGCCACTTTCCTAGAAAGGGGGACACAATAGGTCTATAAATAAGGAATTAATTAACTTCGCCCCTCTCTTACAATCTAGAATATGCTTATTTATCGGATTATTATTTTCTGACAGATCTGCAACCAGGAGAAATTATAAGAATATCAACCGGTGCCCCCATTCCAGCCGGTGCTGACGCTGTAGTTCAGATTGAAGATACTGCGCTGATTGAAGCCAGCGAGAATGGAGAAGACGAAATAATAGTGGAGATACTGGTCGCCCCCAAAGTTGGACAAGACATAAGGTGGAGAAACAATCTCTAACTTTTAGATTATTGTTCTATTAAGTAAATTATATGTCATAGGAAAGTTGGAAGCGATATACACGGAGGCACAGTTGTTTTAGAGAAGTATACTCGAATCTCAGCCGCTACAGTTGGTGTTTTGGCCACGTTGGGATTCACTGAAGTTAAAGTTATTAGGTAAGGAAAAAAGTTGTTCTCCATTACACAATAATATATTTTGTTGTTTTAATAACATATACATATTTAGCAAGTGACTTTATGAGCGAAATTGGCATGTACAAACTTGTTCACATTTATCAACCATTAAAAAATCTACTTACGACATTGTGCTGTAATATTCTAAAAATTGCATGGGTTTCCTGTTTTCAACAATGTCTGATGTTGTTTAAAGTATTAATGATAACCATATGTTATAGTCTGTCCAACGACGGTCCTTGACAGTGATAGATGTGTCTGTCATTTTAATTTCAAAGTAGTTTATTTTATTTTACAAATAAATAAGTTGGTACAATTGGAAGCATAGCAGGACATTAATACCAGAGAGAAACTAATAACTAAAGTGAGAGGGCTTGTGGAATAGGGCCATTTCGTAACTAAAGAAAAAAAACTACGAAGATTGCTTATTATAAACTTGAAAGATTAAGATTCGGTTCAAATATACATATTTTAAATTTTTGGCGCCAGTATATAGGTATGAATGCAACCTACTATATCGATAATGCGCTCATAGTTCGGGTTAGACGCCAAAGGCCGCGCCACTAACACAGTCTTCAAAAATTAACGTTGATCGGTCTCTCTCACTTTAGTTATTAGTGTTCTCTCTGATTAATACATTTAAAATTTGACTGATAAGTGATTACTTCAAAATATTATGAAAAAAAACTGTATAAAACTGAAAAAATCTAATCGAGTTATTTTATTAAAAAAAAAACCGGTATGTGATAATACAAAACAAACAAAAACAAAACACCAAATACTATATATTTTTTTTAATTAACTTTTCTTTGACCAATCTAATATATTTTTTATTTATAGGGTTCTTGGTTTTTGGTCAATATTAAACTTTTTCTGGGTTTAGGAAGGATTAGGAGGATCTAAACCCCGAAAAAGTTTAATATTGACCAAAAGCCAAGAACCCTATAAATAAAAAATACTATATATTATATAATATATATATTCTTAATTTTTTTAAACCAGTACCTTTTGACATTATTTTTCTGCAGTACTAAAATCCATTATTTACCTATCGTGCGATGTCGATATTTTACAGCTACTCCGGTAGTATAAATATGTTTAGTATTGGTACGATCCTTGTAGCATAAATATACAAGATGCACGTATCTACGACGAGATTGTATACAAACTTTATTGATGATAACTTTATTGGTGTATAGACTTTCTACTTGTGCAGCGAGTATTAACTACAAACTGTGCTCTGGAACTACAGTTAATTTTCTCTCGATTTCTCCTCTACTTGACTTCAAAAGACACAAAACACATCATCTTCCAAATCGCAGATATTTGACATAAGTTGACACAAAATTATAACCTATAATTTGGCAAGACTTGACATCAAGTTAAACTTCAAACTTCCCAATTACTACCGGATGAGTACTTGGTTGCGGTACTTGGATTACTACCGGATGAGTACTGATTAATTACTTAATGAGGTAAAACTAAAAAGCCTCAAACTTTCTTTATGATTATTTTTTAATTTGTTTTTAATTTTTACTTATGTTTATTAAAAATCAAAGAGGCAATATCCATACATTACCAACCTACAGATGCCTGAGCAATACATTTATTTATAATAGACTATTAAAAAACCTCTTTTATTTTTTATGTATGTACAGGCTATCGCTTCTTTCATATTAATTTTTGCGTTGTTAAAATTTACTCTGTACCCTGTGTTCCATGAATGCTGACAAATCTTAGATTTGTAAAATGAACATAATAATAAAATAATTGACGTTATTTTCTTCTATCTTCTCGTTGGACCAATTATAACACCCAGAAATGCCTTACCAATGCAGTATATTTATTTATATTATATTGCAGCAGAAAAGCCGCTTTTATTTATCGTTTACAGAGCATCCAGTTTATAAAACTTGTTGTATGTGGCTAGATGAATAATAGTATTTGCATAACACAAATGTTAAGTTACTTTAAAATTCGTATTCCAAATTACTAGAAAAAGAAATAAAATGCAACTAAGTTTCAAAAAGTTAAGATAGTATACGATTTATTGCCGGCTTCCATATTCCAGGCGTCCCACTATCGCTATTGTATCCACCGGGAACGAGCTTTGCAATGCCGATGAGCCTCTAAAACCAGGTCAAATATACGACAGTAATAAACTGACATTGTTGCTACTGCTGCAACGGTACGGTTACAAGGCACTCGACGCTGGAATAGCTAAAGATACGTAAGTAAAACTATATGATTTTCCTTCCAATTGAAAAGAGTTGCTTCCAGTGAAAAAAAAAACTGAGGATAGTGGAAATACTATTTTTATATTTATACAGGGTGGACCGAACTGTATTCCGGAAATTTCTTCCGGCAGCATATTCTGCAGATAAAAATAAATAAAAAACTTCACATAAATATATGTTCTAAAATGCTTAGTTTCGCAGATAGAGGGTGTAGAAGTTTCATTTTTATTTCGATTTTTTCCAAATAATTTCTGAAGTAACGTCAATATTTGGATGAAAATTGGTGTCTGAGAGTTTTTTTGGCATGAGAAATTTGGTTTTGATGTCAATATGACTCCTATTTGAGGGGGGCGCCACCTACATGTTGTGTTTTAACCATAGACTTAAAATAAAATATAGACTACACTATTTACATCTCAATGCGGTCAAACAATCTTTTTTGTACACATGTTTACTTTTGGGTACAGTCGACCGAGCCTTCCTCATCCAGCCTATGTTGTCACGTCTTTAATATTATCAATATTTTTTTTCTTGTTATACACATATATTGAGATATTAATACTACATTTTAATAAAGTAGGTTTTAATATTCCATAGATGTATGAAATAGTCCTTATTACTACTAAATTATAAGTCGGATACTGTTTAAAAAGGATAAGTTCTTTACAATATGACAACACCGATTAGAGGCGAGGGAGCCTATTCATTCATTTATTGCCTTGTAGTACGCGTCGCACGTGTGCGGTAGAGCTTTGTTGCCGCTATGTCCCCGGCTGTATTAACGCATTTTCTTAGCTTGTAGTCCTTAAGTGTTTATTTTATTGTCCTTTTCTGTTCAAGAACTATAAAATATGGTTCGCCAGTGCCAAATTTGCAAGAAATTTGACTTAAATAATCCATTTAAGTCTTGTAACGACTTTCGACCGGTAGGCAACTCTCAATTTACCCATTGGGAGTCAGTGGCGTTGTTGTAGAAAGGCGCTTATTTAGATAATATTTGAGTAAAATGTAGAATCTGAATTTTTTCTCTTACATTACATTATTTACTTACATTGTAACAAAATCATAATTATAACCCTGTTAATAATTAATAATGTTTTTATTAAAAATATATTCCGGTTTATTTTAAAATTATCTTCAGAATCTAAAATAACATATAAGAATTTTAAAATGATAGTACATTATGAAACCAATATTTTTTAATATACCGGGTCGTCTCAAAAGTAGCTCATCCCCTATAACTTTTTTATTTTTTCAGATAAAAAAACAGATTTGTATGTTAGTGGGTATATGACATAAATTAGGATTTATTGACGTATTCAATTGTTTTTGGTCTCTTCCTGTTTCACCGAAATCATTACATCTTTTGATTTTTAAAGGCACCCTCGCTATATTGCTACTTTATTCGATAAAAAATGACACTCTGAATAGACATATCATATGTCAACTTTTGACATTGTCGCTTAAAAACAAATCGTATTTTAAATTTCAATCCAGGGTGCCATGGTGTTGTTAAAAACACTAAGTTTTAATCAAGGAGCCTTGGAAAAATAGTTTTGATCGTCTAATGGGTTTCGTGTCTTGTCTAGGTCGGTTAAAAGATGTATAAATCGTATTTTTAATCATACATATGTCAATTTTTTCAAATGGAACAAGGGTGACTCATTACCATATTTGGAAAAAGCATTTTTTTATGAATATATTGATACCACACACTTGGTATTTCGAGTCAAATTGTCGTTATGAACCGCGTGTTACAATTACAATTAAACCATATGCAAAAATGTCAAAAGTTGACATATGATATGTCATTCTATTCAGAGGGTCATTTTCTATCGAATAAAGTAGAAATATACCGAGGGTGCCGTTTAAAAATTAAAAGTTATAGTCATTTCCGGTGAAAGAGGAAGTGACCAAAAACAATTGAATGCGTCAATCAATCCTAATTAATGTCATATACTAACATACTAAATCTTGTTTTTTTATTTGAAAGTATAAAAAATTATGGGGATGAGCCACTTTTGGGACGCACCCGGTATAATAAAGACAGTACCGAGTTAAATAAATGTAGTTTTCATTTTATCCACTTCATATCACCTTCTTTGCTTTAATGGAACAGATTTATGTTTTCTCTAATTTACGTAATAAGACATCACCTAACCAGAAAAAAAATTACAACAATCATATATTTTTTTTCTCTCCCTGTCGCTGATTCTATTATATCTGTGGAATAGATCCTGGGGTGGAACTCTGTAACGAAATAGCGATCGGTAGCGATCAAAGACATTATAAATATAGACCGAACATTTCATTCATAAATACTCGTTGGTAGTGTATCAAACATTCCAATGTGTCAAACAAGGACAGAAGAGACAGAGAAGTCTAAAATTTCCGACCCCGGCAACTTGGCCCATTTGGATTGTTCTAATGGCCAGTGGCGTATCGTTTTTTGGAACGAATTTAATTAGTAAAGTAAAAGTAAAGTAATTAGTAAAATGTTTACTCCATATTAATATACTACATTAACACTTTTTCGTCAGATGAGTTTTGTTATAAGGTCTAATATAATAATATAATTAATATCCCACATATACTTATGTTGAAACGTTAGTAGGTAGTTTTCGAAAATCGCTCCAACTTCGATTTTCAATTTAAACTTTCAGTTACTTTTGAATATTTACAGGGTGACTCAGGCTTCCGAAAGAGTTCTATATTAGGTTTGTGGTTGGTGACTTCTCTTTCAATTTTTTTTTCAGAATATGGAGGCAATGGTAAAGCACATTTTAGACATTTTTGTAAACATAGGTGGCCGGAACATATTTTCAAACTAAAGTTGTAGATTTGCCATTAAATTTCCATTCCAGAAATACCTAGGGTTGCCACCTGCCATTTTTGAAAAGGACAGTCCTTTTTGGAATAACTCATCCTTTCGACTTTTTTGACTTAAAAGTCATTTTTATTTACGTATTTTCCCTGAGAAAATTACCTACAGCAAACAGAAATATTATTTTCGTCCAAATTTAATTAGAGATGTTATAAAACTTATAAATAAATTTTTCTTGTTTAGAATAGGCAACATCATTTAGAACTTCCCGTTTAATCTCAAATGACAATTTAGGTTTTAGTTTTACCTTTTTTGATCTTAAAAAGAACTTTTTAAAATTAGTAATTAGTAACGATTTAGTTAGTTCGCAATTGATAGCTTCCTGTAAAGTACTATGTAATAGTTGTTTAATCTTGTATTATTAATAACTTCCTATACCTAAAATCAATATTTAATGAGAAAATTGTGTTTTTTTGAAAATATAAGACAAGATTTGACTTTCGGTTTGACTTCTTGTATTATGATGGCTCTGATACGAGGCAATTACCTTTTAGTCTCTCAATAGAAGGCATTTATCATTAAAAGTATCAAATCTGTGTGCTACAGTATGGGATTTCTGTCGCATAATAATGAATATTACGTTTATTTACAAATCCATTACTTATAAAGGTAGCTTCATCAGACAATTAAATTTTAGTTAAATGTCCCAATCTTCATGAACTGTATTAAGCATATGTATTGCGGTTTGAATCACCCCGAGATTCACCCTGTATGTTGACAAAAATATTTTGAAAATGTGCGTTACAATGGCCCCCGTCTTATGTAAAAAATTGAAATAAAAATTACAAACCTAAAACGTAATAGGTAAAAAGCTTTTTTGGAGGCCTGGATCACTTTGTATATAGGTATGTATAAAACTAGTAGCCTAAATTATTTACAGTTTATCCCATTCTAAAAAAAAGGTAAACACACCGTACAAATAACTCTAGGAAGAGGTATTTATACGGCGGTAAAAAATTGTTTAAACGAGGCCGAAGGGAATATAATAATGCAATAAAATGTAAAAAAGGGCGGGTAAACACCTTTGTTTATTTGTTGAGCAAAATTATTCCTTTAGAATATCGTATATAATGACCAAAATATGACGCAATTTTAAGAAAAAATGTCACTTTCTGGCTTATAATAAAGTTTCAAATGCAACGTTTATATTCAAATTTGTTATGATCTACAACAGTTAAGTAGTAATTGAGACGAATTATAATTCAATTACCGGCTACTACGTTCTTGTTTTAATAGCTCAAAATTCAACAAATATAATTAGAAATTATTTTAATTGTGAGAGGGTCCCTTGTGGGACGCCTATGTACGGCGATTACGGCGCGATGGAAACAATACCTACCTGTGAAAAGACAAATTCGGGTAATTTGAGCTTATTTTTCTACACATTTGACACTGTCGTACCATACTGACAATTCACAGATTCAAAAGTACGTTAAACAAAAGCAAAAACTACTGAAAAACACTGAAAAGTTCACTTCGGACTTATTTCCGACTTCAAACACACCGTAAGCTAAACGTAGTACGCTATAACGGACCAAGGGCCGTCGCGAGGGGTGGTGGGACGGACGGCTCATTTCATTCTGGAAGACTAGCAGCGACGTTGCCAATAGTTCTAGACGTTTCAGCACATTAAACAGTAAACATGTTCTTTAATAGTAACGCATATATCCTCTGGTTAATAACATATTATTACGCATTCTTCTTTAAAAATAAACTATTAATTTAATTAAGAAATTGAGATTTATTGATATCCGGTGAAGGTTTTAAAGTCACCTTTTCTGCAAATCAAACTAAGTAGATAGGCGCAAATTTGAGATGTGGCAATGTCGCCTTCTCTATCTCAGTTGGTTTTTACAGTACGTAGTTAACCTCCGATTGTTTGATCGGGTTAAAATGCAAAATGTGATATCTGTTCTTCCTAAATCTATGGTAGCGATGAAGAATACTCTCGCTTGCCATTTAGTTTGTACGGCCAAGGTCAGTATTCTTTATCGCTACCGATCGCTATTTAGTTACAGAGTTTCAGCCCTGTTTTGATTAATATTAGAGGTTGTAAATGTTTGACTAAAATTAATAATTTATTATTCATTTCAAAAATTACGCAATTTC